TAAGAACTAAGAATACTTTATGTTATGATAATATTTGGTTTGTTGTAAACCATCACGTCGATCACCAGATCTTTATTCTTTAGTGTACCTATAATCAGGGGTGTTCCAATTAGGTATACTACATATTATACGCTGTATATTCTCAAAAATTTTTTTCAATATTATAGGTATACTGCGTAATATAAGGGCAATGTATAGAAAAATTTGGTTTAAAATTCTTTCCATATTATTGACACGCTCTTATTGGCTTTACTCCTATAAACCATCAGAAAAATATTTTTATTGTTTTTAAATGTTTATATATTATGATGATATTATAGTATACTCTCAAAAAAATGAACGGGGATACCTCTGCCTCTAATAGGCGATCTAGGACATCTTGGCGTGGCCGTATTGGCGTGGCCACTTGGCCTAAATCAATTTGGCGTATGGCTAATTTGGCGTAAGACTATTTTGGCGTTAAGTTTTGACTTAATATGACTAGTATATCAGCAGTTGTAYGTGCGAGTAATATAATAAATAATAATGTAATAATCATTATGCATAATTATTATTAATTGATGAAGTAGGTGGAGTAAAAAATCAATTGATATAAATGTATATACTATACATATAGGTAAATAAAAAGTAATTGACTTTAGTGCTTTAGTCAATACTCAATAGTCTAGTAGTTTAGTTCATATATATAAAAAATATAAATATAATTTGTGTATAATTTAGTAAMAACTTATATTTTGAGCTATTCCCCTTAAAAAAAATATATACCTCGACCTCAAAATACTCTTTATTTGAGCTATTGCCGATTACAATACTGATTAGTAAATATTAAACTTTATGACAACTTATTACTGATTACCCGCACAGGGCACAGACGACAGATATACAGTCACATAAGTCTGCTTTTCTAGTCTACCGTCATTTTATATCATACATTTTCAAATTCTTATTACTTTTAAATATACGCCAGAACTTAAYRMCAAAATAGTATTACGCCAAAATGTTTTACGCCAATACGGCCACGCCAAAATGTCCGGGTCCGTAGTAGCATATAGTTTGCAGTTATATAGTATAAAGTTATAGTTGCACTTAGTATTTGTAAATCMAAAAATTTTACATTTTTTATAAAATGGGAAAATTTAAAAAAAGCGTTGGTCGAAACAAAATAAAATGAAAAGTTATGTATTTAATTTAAAAAAGAAAATAGTGGAGTTCTCTAGCGTTGCATGGCTTAGTTGGTTTGTAAGTTAATTTGTTATTGAATTATTTATTTTAAGTTCTGAGTGAAGCATTAAGCAAGTTTATGTGTTATAATATGTTTCAAATTTCATGTAGGTACGAGGTACGACCATGAAGATCTAGACGGGAGATCAATATTTT